CAGGGATGACATTTCAACGTCAGAGAGACACACTGATTGGTTGCATCCTGCACAACCCTGAGCAGGACAGAGGATAGAGCCTGCAACTGAGGTACATGCCCTTGGCCGGAATCAAACACAGGACCCTTCAGTCCGCAGGCTGACACTGTAACCACTGAGCCAAACCAGGCAGGGCAATAAGCTTATACATTTAGAAATTATAAAGATAACATCCATCTTCTCAGAGATTATTAAGATACTTAAGCATTCACATCATACTACCTTGAAAAGTAAAATCTAGCACCAATTAAAAAATTATGAATGGCCCCGGCCAGATAGCTCAATTGGTTAAAGCATTGCTCCAATAAGCCAAGATTGTGGGTTCGATCTCTCTCTCCCTCTCTCTCTCCTTTCCCCCCCACTCTCTCTAAGAATCAATGGAGCCTGGCCGGTGTAGCTCAGCAGTTGAGCAACAACCTATGATCCAGGAGATCTCAGTTCGATTCCTGGTCAGGGCACATGCCTGGGTTTCGGGCTCCATCCCCAGTAGGGGCATGCAGGAGACAGCCAATCAATGATTCTCTCTCATCATTGATGTTTCTCTCTCTCTCTTTCCCCCTCTCTTCCTCTCTCTGAAATCAATAGCCGTATTAATAAAATAAAAATAATCAATGGAAAAAATATCCTTGGGTATGGATTAACAAAAGAACAAACTAACAAACAAAAACTATAAATAGCTCACAAGATTTTAAATACTAGACTAGATTTGTAAACATTATTTTCATTAAAAAAATATATAGAGATTGGCCCTGGCCCAGCAGCTCAGTTGGTTAGAGCATCCTTCCAATATGCCAAGGATGTGGGTTTGATCCCCAGTCAGGGCACATACAAGAATCAAGCAATGATGCATAAATATGTGGAATAACAAACACAATGTTTCTCCTTCTCTCCCCCACCCCCACCCCTCCTTCCTCTCTCTAAAATCAATCTTTAAAAAGTTTTAAAATATATACACTGTTAACAGGAATCAGGACCTACTTCAAAGGCTTTCCACTGCCCAAATCTGTGACAATTTGAGCATTATATAACCTTAATGATAAGTGAACTATCATATAGTAATATATGAAATTGGAAAGAATTAGTGATGGATGCTAAAACTAATTATAGTGAAGAACCTGGTGAACACCTTAACCAAGTGATCAAAGTTAATATCGCCAATAATGGCATAAACAGACATTTTATAGCTCCCTAATGTGATGCACTGAAGACAAAAATCACTTATGTGTAGTATTCCTGCCAGAAAAGCATACTCTGAATATACCTAATGAGAAAACCTTAGACAATTCTACCAAAGTAAATAGCATACACTCTCAGAAATATCAACATAAAAAACAAAACAAGCCCTAGCCAGTGTGGCTCAGTTGGTTGGGTATCAACCCATTCACCAAAAGGTAGCTGGTTCGATCCCGTCAGGGCACAAGCCCAGGGGTCTTTTGGGGCTTGATCCCTGGTAGGAGGCATGCAGGAGGCAGACAATGTTTCTCTCTTACATCAATGTTTCTCTCTCTCTCTCTCCCCCTTTAAAAAACAAACAAACAAAGAAACAAAAACCCCCCACCAATAATAAAATGATAAAAAGCGCAGCTGGAGTAACTCCATCGGTTGAGCATCATCCTGTGCACTGAAAGGTTGTTGGTCCAATTCCTGGTCAGAGCACTGGGTTGTGGATTCAATCCGCAGTCCAGGTGCATACAGAGGCAACCTATCGATGTTTCTCTCTCCCCCCAACTTCTTCTCTCTAAGCAAGTCCTCAGGTGAGGATTTAAAAAAAAAAAACAGGGTAGGGTGTGAGTGTATGGGTATGGGTAGAACCACTGCAAATTAAGAAACTAAAAAAACTAAAAGATTAAAAAATCCTGTTACTGGAACCTGCACCACAAAAAAAAAATTTAAAAAAATTAATTAATTGCTATCTAGGACATTAAGTCTACTGGTAAAATATAAGATCTGTTAGATAATGGGATTTATTGTCTGTTAAATTTCCTGATTTTAGTAATTGTACTGTGGTTCTAAGTACATGTTCTTAGAAACTACACAGTAAAATATTTAGGAGAAAAGAGCATAATGTCTGGAGCTTACTCTCAAATGGTTCAGAAAAAAATTATGCACACATCTCCAAAAAGAATAATAAAGCAAATGTGGCAAAATATTACACTGTTAAGTCTGAGTGAAGAGTATATGGGAGTTTTTTGTACTACTCTTGAAGTTTCTCTTAAGTCTGAAATTATTTCAAAATAAAAAGTTAAATGCCCTGCCAGCGTGGCTCAATGGTTGAGTGACCCAGGAACCAAGGGGTCATGGTTCAGTTCCCAGTCAAGGGCACATGCCTGGGTTGTGGGCTAGATCCCCAGTGAGGGCCATGCAGGAGGCAGCTGATGGATGATGTTTCTCTCTCATTGATGTTTCTATCTCTCTATCCCTCTCTAAAAATCAATAAAAACATATTTTTTAAAAAGTTACTAAAACAGGGAGATAACGGTTTTCACTTAATTCTTCTGCAAAAACTGGATGCATTAAAATTTTATCTTTTAAAAAAAGTTACCTTAAACAGTTCATAAGACCTTGAAATGTGTTTATTTCTTTAGACCTACACTAAAAGTCATCAAATACAAGGATATTTTAGCAAAAAAGAAAATTAAGTCTGCCTAGCATTTTTTTTTTTACAAGTCTTTTGTAATGAGAAAAAACAACACAGAGAAGGTTCTAACACAAGGACCATTATTTTTAAACACTTTTAGACATTAAAACTTTTTAGGTTTCCTATGAAAGACTTCCCTTATAGCAGGTTTTCTTTCACTTTTGTGACTATTTCCCATTACCACCAGGGACAATTCCACTAAATACTTTGACAATTTATGGTCAAAGGGCTTCACCTGGAGGTCAGCTGTATTTACTGACATTTCTAATCAACCAATTCTACCCTGGTTTAATAAACACAAAGCGAGGGGTAGGGAATAAGACAAGAATGATGATGAATATATCAGTAAAGGAAAAAGAGCAAACAACACATAAGCAAACCTGGAACTTGGATCTCCAGTGGGTCCAAGTCCCAGCTGGAACTGCCATAAACACAACAT